TAACTATGTGTATGTGTCTATTGGATACAACTTTATTATATAATGACTAGATTCTCATAAGGTGCAAATTCTACTCGGGTAGTTTTGGCCTGTTCATAGCCGGCACATCTTGCTCGATTTTTGCCGTAAGTTTGCTATCACGCCTTGCTCGGCACGTCTTGCTCGCTGTTTGCTGCAAATTTGTCGTCACACGTTGCTCGACACGTCTTGTTCGGTTTTTGCAGCACTCTGCCCTCAAGTGATTTTGGCATGCTTTGCCGACATAATGCCAGCATAATGGTAGTATATATACTGCAAATTTGCTGCAATCCTATGATTGATTTTGCCAGCAATTTGTCGGCATATTGCTGACATTTTGCTATCAGGGTGTCACGTCTGTCATGTATTTATATGAATTTATGTGAATTTATCAAAATATATCAGTTCATATATCAAGTAAGACGAGTGTTTGACGAAGACTAAGTTCGTCTCGCACGCTTTCGTGCTGAAAGTGTCATTCTATCTTCCTTCAGCAAGTAATGAGCGATAAAGATAGAATAATGCTGTTAATATGAGAACGTATAAGATAAACGTGGACGAAGTGATTACGTGAAGCACACCTTCACGCACAATATGTTTCAGATAAAATTTTTTATCATTAAACAATCTCATTTTGCAATATAAAAATATAATGTCTAACACAATATAAAAATATAATATCCAACACGATACAGCTGATTATCGTGTATGATAAACGTTATTGCATATCATGTACTCGATCACGTGGATTTGTGCGCCGGAAAATATATGGTAAAGCCGCGCAAACTAAGATCTAAGGCCGAATCACTTGTTTCTTAAGCGGACACAGTATCTATTTAATGCTTATAAAATTTTACAAGTCCCATGTATTGAAGATGTTGTTTATTGACACCGCATTACACACACAAGTAATAAACCGACAGTCCAAAGTCTTTTCAGTGTTACACGAAAAGGACACCGTTAGTTCACAACCGTGAGACTGAATATTTTTGTTATCTGGGGACCAGATGATAAGCAGTTCCGGTTTGCGGTTGTAAGAACAGAAAAATTCCTGTAAAAAACTTCTACTTAGCCAATCGCTCTCAGTTATCTCAAACAGTTATCTCAAACGAGTTTTCACACAATGGAATGTTCAGGACGAATGTTTTCGTGGGTCGCGGATGGTCGAAGTCAAGTGTCACACTGCTGGAATAGCCTCCTCAATTGTTGTAGACATTGTGTTTAAAAAAGGGCGTAACCAATTCGAGATAAGCTCCATTATCCAAGAATATTCGAGTGCACATAGCAGAACTCTGCTTGCAAATAAATTAAACTGGCTATCGAGTAGCAAATAAGCCGTAGTCGTAAAGTGATATTAATTAGATAATTTATATTCATCATAGCTTTTATCGTGTATCATACCGATTGCATATTGCACTATTATTTACATAATTATGACGGCATCGGGATCACTTGAACGCCGTTGGCACGTTTCCGGGTTAAACACAGCGTGCCTGAGCATTCGCGCATTGTCATAACTCAAGTTTGTGTTTATTTAACAGTCCATGGCAAATTGACGTGAAACATAGTGTGAGAAGTTAAATTTCAGGTTGAAAATAGTTAAGAGGATGTCAAACGGATAATCAAATTAATTAATGAAAAGGAAGCGATCGCGGAAACCGTGTTGAATCGATTCATCCGCGATGACTTAATGTGATTTGCTTTGTTCTGAGAGTATCTAAATCGCAAGTGACAGGCATTAATGACGCTGTCGCGTATATGTCGCGGTGTTTCTCAAATCGTATGACATACCACAACTCTTTCCCACCCTTATTGATCGTCCCGTTGACAGCTGACGTGGTTCGACGGATCTGATGAAGGAGCACGTTAGTTATTACCGTCGACCACGTAGCGTACACACCTTTCCCGGCATTTTCTCGTGACTGAGCCAAATGATTTTTGCTGGGCAATAGTAGCTGAGTATCACCCCTCCGCACCAGTTGTGCAATGCAATCAGATATACGCCGACGCATGCGTAATAACGAAGATACAATGTCGACGCCGACGCCGACGTCGATGCAACCTCGAGACGCGACCAGATTGGGGTGTATTTTGCGCTCTCTTCCTTCGACTCTTCGTACAAATATTCCGACTCGCGGCACGATGCAAATGCACAGAAAAAAAGATCTGTTACATATGGACATATATATTACAATTAAACATAATTTGTTGTATTAGCCATTTTTTCTTTGCTGCAGGAGCCAATTTCCTTGTTATGATAACAAGAAAATCTGCTCCTGTAACAAAAAAAGTAGCTAAAGCAGTAAATTATGTTTAATTATCTATCTATAGTAAATTTGCTACGTTAACCATTTTTCTTACTGTTGGAGCAGATTTTTTTTTATCATAGCAAGAAAATAGGTTCCTGCAGCAAAAAAAAATAGCTAACACAGAGAATTATATTTAATTGTCCATATGTAGCAAATTAGTTTGCTGCTGCAGCAAATTATTTTTTTCCATGTGCACTCAATGAAGGGTGACAATCCTCTCACACCATGTGTTCAACCTTACATCTCGGTAACGATTGTTTAAAATTTACCCTTGTTCGGATCTAATTCTTTTACTTCGTTTAAAATACGAACTCGTAAATTTTGCTTCATAGTCTATCTTCTGTAAGGAAAAAAGCAACTTCTTAGTGAGCAGTTTTTATTGTCGGTTACAATTGCTAATATGCATAATGTTAATTCTCGCCTTTATCTACGTGCTTATTGTATTACAACTACGTCTTTGAAAGCTAGGCAGAGATAAGCCATCACTGCTTCTGTAAATCTTTGAAAATAAAACGTGTAACAGCGAAATGCGTTATTAGTGGCTCGCTTGGCAACATTAAACGGGACTAATATTCAATTTTTTCGCGTCGTCCATCATCTTTTGCACCAAAGCGTTCCATTCGTCGGGACGGTTCTCAGTATACCATACGATTATCTTTTCGAGATTCTGCTTTTGTACTTCCGTGCACTTGAGGCATTTCGTTACAAACGCTTCAGCGGCAAGCCCTGCGAAACGTAAAGCCTTTAATTATCAGAATCCTCCGAATCAGAATCTTTCTCTTTTTTTAGTAATCGTTGGAAATGTAACATAGTCTTCATCTTAATAAATATTACATATCAATTACTATATCAATAAATTACTATATCAATAAATTACATTATAATCAATAAATTACGCGTAAAAAAAGTATTTTGATGTATTATTTGGATATTTTTCATAAAAGTAGAAAAAATATATATTATATATATTAATTGAAGACTTTTAGTAAAAATGCAAAACTATTGTTGACAAAATTGTTGCATATATCGCACAGTAATATTAAAAATGTTAAATATTTTGAATACTTTTAACTGTAACGATTTTTAACTATAAATATTTTCAAAAAATTTTTCATTTGAGTATCGTCATTATCGAAAATTTAAAACAGAACTTGAACACCCCTTATAGAAATATCATACTAAGAATCATTGATAATTACTTATTTTCAGTATTAAAAATACTGGATAATAAGTAATTATCAATGATTCTTAGTATGATATTTCTATAAGGGACAAATAATGAATCACTTAGGAATAACGAATTGCGGAAACGGAAAAGATAACACGCGATTTGAGATCATCTCGGATGCACTCAAAACGTCGTGAAATACTTCCCAGAACATTTTGGATATATCTAGGATGCTTCCTGGACGTCTCCCTGTTTTATCTAAGATGTTACTAAATAATATTGAGATGATTCTAGATACCACAAAATGTCCTGAGGACATTCTGGATATATTCAGGAAGTGCCGTAGTACTCTTCAAGCATTCAGAATGACTGTAGGATAGGATAACTTGTGTTTTTTGAAGATACCTTTGAAGAATTTCTGGTCCTCAGTTACACAGGGACCGGTCTCCATGATGCAATTGTAATATTGATTTCGAAGTTCGTCGTTTGGCAAGATCTCCTCGGCTTTGATGTGATCGAACATATCTGAATATGACTCCTGTGCGACGACGGCCGCCAAAACGACCAAGAAGGCCACAGACAAATACAGTGTTGATCTACCCATGTTTCTGATCGTTATCGGGAATTCGTGCAACGGAACTGTATATTTCAGCGAACTCACCGTTTCTTTTATAGTTTGCGCTCGCCCTTGGTGCGGATCTCCCCTTACGTAAATATTGTGTAAATAGTCGTTACGCGTCAAGCCGAATGGTAATTGCATATTCTGTCGGAAAACTTGATTCTGCAAGCGAATTAATTAACGAAATTGCTATAAGACATTGTCGGGGAGACACCAGCGCACGATTATCTCGCTCGTGTAAAGTAATGATTAGTGCGGTTTATATAGGCTTGATGATGGTTCTGGAACCGATCGTCCCTCCGAAAGCTAGAGTGTCATGAGGTTTGACGACGACGACGTTGGAATTAAAGTTGTTTCGTGGACTCGCTTGGCCGAACGCTGTAATACGTTTTCGCATTTTGTACAAGTATCGACTCATGTACATATAACGTCATTTTGCGCGATCTTTATGCCCTGCTATGATGGATACGCGGAATTGGCACCTGACAATTAAATTTTATTTCCTTTTTTACGTTCGTAAGATTGTTCAAATCCTGAACAATTACCTACTGGCTCATAAAGCGTAACGATGTAATTACAGACAACGCTGAAGAATTCATTATCGTTCTGAATCACTGGCTGCGAAATACGCGTGCCAAAAATAGCGCAAATGTTTAGAACACGTCTTAATTGCCTGTATTAATAGTTGTCAACCCTTATAGAAATATTATACTAAGAATCATTGATAATTACTTATTTTCAGTATTAAAAATACTGGATAATAAGTAATTATCAATGATTCTTAGTATGATATTTCTATAAGGGAACTGAAACTTGTCTTATGTGAAATACTCCAATTTTTATTCAGAGTTGGATCTAAAATTTTCAGTGAAATTATATACATACTCATATATATATATATATATATATATATATATATATATA